AAAGCCTGCTGTATAGGGTTGGAAGACTACAATCAAGTATGTTGGAGAATAGGAGATTATTCCACAGCAGGAATTCATTGAAAATCCTAGTGTCCTTAACACTGCATAGCCCTTGAGCAGTTCAAATGGTTATTTTTCATTCACCAGCTAAATTACCGTATATACTCCTTCGTAAGCTGAATTTTTTTAGTAAAAAAGGGAAACATCAGAGAAGGGGGTCAGCTTATGAGCAGGTATAGAGAGAGGAAGAGGTGGGACACAGCCGCCCCCCCCCCAAAAAGAGTGGGCAAGGAGAGACAGCAGAGCCAGAAGGGTAGAGGGGGCCAGAATCTCTCCCCGCCCACTGGAGCAGGCTGTGGCTGCACCGCCCAGCCTGCTGGAACAGCTCCAGCCAGGCCAGAGACATCCTCCTCTAGCCTGCCCCAGCTAAGGTGGGAAGGAATGGGATAGGGGAAGTGTGGAGGTCCTGGACTAGGGGTGGGGTCATGGGTGTGGGGGGTGGTCACAGGGGTTACTCCCCTGACCCTCTCCTTCTCCCCTCGTAAAATTTCCCCACCAGTTGCTGTCCAGACCTATCAGGGTAAGCTGCTGGCAGGCTGGGATACTTTATTTACTTAGGTTTTCCTCCATGCCTGTGGACACGTGGAGGTAAATAAACTGCCTCAGCCCGCCAGAGGTTTAGCCTGATGGCCTGGGAGCCAAAGTTTGCTGACCCCTGCTTATGATCAAGTATAGATGGTATGTTCCCTTCACTAAGAACTATGAAAACTGGAAGGGATGACCTTGGACATTTATCTTAAGGAGCCTTTGAACTTTTTTAACTTTATTTTTTCAGCAGTGAGCAGGACGAGCCTATATCTTCGTTATTGTTTAGTACTTTAAACACAGTCAAAATGTTGATACCTGGTTTAGTTTATTAGGACAGGTCCACCTGTGCTGCAGTATTTTATTCTAAAACTACATAGGTGGTAGGACAATCAGGCTTACAGAGAAAATGAAAAATAAAATACCTCTTCCACAACATCAACCTTTGTCTTTTTAATATAATGAACTTTAATCCCTTGCCAGATTACTGAAAATGGACAGACAGAACCTAACATTTATTTAGACATGAACAGATGTACAGAGAGTCCTTCCAGATAGGGTAGTTTATCATATGCATAGTTACAAGCCAAGCAATTCTTTGCATACTTAAGGCTTTCATGGAATGCAAAAATCCAGTGATTTATTCTGAAGAGTGTTTTTACTTTTTCCCAATACCATTACTTTTCCAGTCGGTTGCCAGCATCATGTTTAACAATTACTTTCTCCAGTGGCCTTAGAAAAATAAGATACCGATTCTAGCATTCCCATTTCTTAGTACAGCTGTCCTTTTATAAGTTTCCTACAAATATTTTAGAGAGGATGTGGACATGACAACCAAGCAGATTTGAGGTGAGTTTGCAATAGTATAAGGCAAGCCCGTACAAATTCAGAAGCAAAGAATAACAGTGGCTCCTAGACTCCGGGCCATGAAGCACTTGCTGGATGCCCCAAGAGAGCTGGAGGGGTTAGGGGTAGGGGGAAGATGACACATGGTGCTGTCTCTGCTCTTTGTTTCTGGCAGTTCATTTGTAGTACACCCACAAAGCTACTGTCAAATCCCTCCTCAAAACTGTTCTCTGCAGTCTACCTCATACAAGTACTTTATTGTGAAAGTGCAACTTACAAATGTATATTTTTTTTTGTTACATGACTGGGCTCAAAAACAAAACAATGTAAAACTTCAGAGCCTACAAGTCCACTCAGTCCTACTTCTTGTTCAGCCAATCGCTAAGACAAACAAATTTGTTTGTGATTGAACTCCTTGGGGAAGAACTGTATGTCCCCTGTTTTACCCACCTTCTGCCATATATTTCATGTTATAGCAGTCTTGCATGATGACCCAGCACATGTTGTTCATTTTAAGAACACTTTCACTGCAGATTTGACAAAGCGCAAAGGTACCAATGTGAGATTCTAAAGAAAGCTACAGCACTCGACCCAAGGTTTAAGAATCTGAAGTGCCTTCCAAAATCTGAGAAGGATGAGGTGTGGTGCATGCTTTCAGAAGTCTTAAAAGAGCAACACTCTGATTAAGAAACTATAGACCATAAACCACCAAAAAAGAAAATCAACCTTCTGCTGGTAGCATTGGACTCAGATAATGAAAACGAACATGTGTCGGTCCGCACTGCTTTGGATTGTTATTGAGCAGAACCCGTCATCACCCTGGACGCATGTCCCCTGGAATGGTGGTTGAAGTATGAAGGGACATATCAATCTTTAGCGCATTTGGCACATAAATATCTGGCTACAACAGTGCCACGAGAACGCCTGTTCTCACTTTCAGGTAACATAAACCAGAATTGGACAGCATTATCTCCTGCAAATGTAAACAGACTTGTTTATCTGAGTGATTGGCTGAACAAGAAGTAGGACTGAGTGGACTTGCAGCCTCTAAAATTTTACATTGTTTAATTTTTGAATGCAGGGTTTGTTTTTTTTACATAATTCTACATTTGTAAGTTCAACTTTCATGATAAAGAGATTGCACTACAGTACTTGTATTAGGTGAATTGAAAAATACTATTTCTTTTGTTTTTTACAATGCAAATATTTATAATAAAAATAAATATAAAGTGAGCACTGTACACTTTATATTCTGTGCTGTAATTGAAATCAATATATTTGAAAATGTAGAAAACATCCAAAAATATTTAAAGAAATGGTATTCTATTATTGTTTAACAGTGTGATTAATCGCGATTAATTTTTTTAATCACTTGGCAGCCCTAGTTAAAACTACATTGAATGCTTTCCTTAAATTACTTCTCCATGTATAAAGTGCCCGTAGTTAGCACAGGGATCTTATTTGATTATGCAAAGTGAGTTAGGTGGAGAAAAGAAAAAAGAAAAACTATTCGGATGCAATCCACCCTATGAAAGCATTTAAGAACCCCTGCTTAATACATTCAACCAAGTCATTCCACCCCCAAAAGAAAGAACACACAAATAATCCCCTGCCAAATGGGCCAAAATCCTTAGGTTCTTACTCAAGCCTCCATCATACCTTTGCAGGAATAACACAGATAAAATAATTCCAGTAATCCTGTGTAAGATTAGGTATCACATTAAGGAGCCTTCAAGCATGAATTTTGAACGTCCCATGCACCAATCTCAGCTCCAGCAAGATTAGCATGGCTTCCAGGGAGCTTTTGTTTATAAATAATTGGGGTGGGAGGGGGGGGGGAGAAGCAGTGTTTTTTAATACCATGAGCATTCAAGGTGAGATATTCCTGAGCAAATATCTCGTTCTCCCATGAGTTATTAATAAAGTGCCCTTATTAAAAACAACCCTCCTCCCCCCAGTATTCATCCAAATCAGAGTTTATAGAATGTGCTGCTGAGTTTTGGTCTATTCCAGCAAAGTACTGTAATAGTTTACAGCTATTTGTAATGAATGTGTTGCAGTTGTAACCAGATCAATCACAACAATTGATGAGCCTTGTCTTAGATAACTCCTTAGTTTCTAGTATCAGGGGGTAGCTGTGTTAGTCTGTATCCACAAAAACAACAAGGAGTCTGCCACCAGACTCCTTGTTGTTTTTCCTTAGTTTCTGTTACACTACATCACTATTCTGCTATGAGAGTTACAAGACTAGTTAGACACGCTATTATAAAAAAATAAATATCAATCCCTAAACTTAATGTCAAGGGGTTAATTTTTAATTTTAGGTTAAATACATTTTTATCTAGTCCTCTATAAAACTTATATTGCTGCCTTATAACAGCAAGAGGAACTAGAAAAGTATAGAAACAATCAGCTGCAAAACCATGCTAACAGCAGAGAACACATTTCATGTATACGCTACCTTTTTGCATGTAATCAATATATTTTGAGAGACTGAATTCAAACCACCTCTTGATTATTTTAACTGGATCCCAACTTCTGCAGTTTTCCTCTCCATGTTTTGCTTTGAAGTTACTATTCACTTGATTAAGTTACTTCTAAATTGCAAGCTGATTGTTCAGTGCTGGCATCAGAACAATAGACTTCTGTGTAACAGAAATCTGAAGTACATTAATTTGTAATTGAGGTCTATGTTAGTTGATATTAAAACATTTGACTTAAATACTTCGGTCTTTGCTTAGACACAGGACACAAGTATTGGGCAGTGTGTACTGGAAGAACAATGAGCCAGATTCATAAGTGATGAACACCCACAATTTAAATAGAAGCCCTTGGGAGCAGTGGTGATCAAACTGAGCCCCACCGGAATACATACCAAATGCAACCCTTTTGAATTTAATAGATCCCTGTGGAAACCACAGCCACAACCAAATCCATGTTCAGTCACTTGAAACTCAAAGTGTAGAATCTGGTTTAATTTATGTATGCAGTCTGTCTGTATGTTTTTTAACTGCATTTTTAAGCATGACCCAGATTCTGGTATATATTTATAAACAACATGAAACAAGAATAAATCCAAAGGATTCTTATACAATGCACTTGGTGTACCAGTTATGAACCACATTTTATCAAGACAGCCATTAAACTGAAAGGAAAACAGTCTACTCTACACATCTCACCATTCAAGATTTTGGAAAGAAAAAAAAATAGTGACTGATCATACAAGAGGTTCGTAGGGGTCTCCTGTCCTTTTCAAATTAATGGATATTTGTGTGGAAATTTTGTGAATCATACGAGCAGCAAGATACTGTATACACTACAGCTATAGAGCGTCACAAATATTTCAAAAACACAGATCCATCTAAGTTCATATATTAATTGCTTTTGATAAGCAGATGTTGCAAGGTTATATTCCTGTAATAAAAAAAAAAAACTTTACATCAGAAGTTTACATGAACTGCCAAGTTCTGCAAAATGCTGGATAATATAGCCAACTATGATGTCTGCACAAATGTTAGTTGAAGTAGGAGTACATAGACAATGTCAAACAAAATGGACAATTACAACACTGAACAAATTTTTTTTAATTATTTTAGATCAGAACATCCAGTTGAAAATAAACAATTAAAAATAAATTCTGTTACACTGCTTGGATCTCATGCTATAATACAATGTAAAACTCTAGTACTAGGACATTCTAGCATTTCATGTGCATGTATGTATGTGCACACAAACTTTGTACAAATATTTCTACCACAGCCATGGAGTGTATGAAAAAGAGGCTAAAACCTCATTGTTCTATATGGATGTTGTAAAAAACAGACAACATAAACATCTTCATGTATACCAACTATTTGGACAATGCAATAATATAGTTTCAGACCAAATTACTTCCAATACAATTTTATGAGAGAGTGTTATTACTCATTCACGTTAAAAATTCAGCATAATGCTTAATATATTGATGAAGTGTGGCATAAGCAATATATAACAAATATACTAGATATTTCTCCATCATTGTTTTGCCCTTTTCTAGATATAAAGCAGGCATGTGTGTACTGTCCATCTAAACACACATGTGCACAAAGGATATGTAAAGTAACCCAAACCACATAACCCTTAGTGTTAAATGTTTTGTGATAGCAGAGCAAAACAATCCTCAAAGACAAATGAACTTCTCAATTAAAATTGTGCTGTAGTTCTTTAAATGACTACTTGGAAAGCTGAGAACTACAAAATATGATTTTGCAGTATTTCTGCTAAAACCTGAGGAATATTAAGCTAGCAATAAGCAAGGCATTTTCAAACAAGAAATTTGTAAAAAATACACATTTTTTACTAGAAGCTTTCATATATAAAAAGACAATAAGAAATATAATAAAACCTATCCTTTTAGGACTACATCTTCCCTAGTAAATAGTTCTTTATTCTCACTTGCACTATTACATACAGTACATTCGATTTCCTACACAGAAAATGTACATTCTTGTCCCTGATGTATATTTTATTGGCAGTGATCGCAAGCTGTTTTATTATCAACACTCACTTCTGTAGCTTATAAAAACAGCACCAAGTTTTATGCAAAACAAGAGTATTAGTATGAGTACTACTTCTTCATGACAAGTGAAATATTTAATTTAAAGAAGTCAAAGAACAAGAAACATCAGAACCAAAATGCATATTTCCAGAAACCATACCAGAATAAACGGCTCAGAGCTAAGTAATAAGTAACCAGGAGTTTTGCATAGTACAGGGCACTCCCCTGTTTGAATCCACCCATCCATTGATTGTTCCTTACCCTCCAGGAATGGAAAGCAAAGTGGACAAGTGCTAATGAATATAGAAGTACACAAAAAATTTACTGGTAAAAAAACTGAATTGTACAGTTTCTCATTATCTCTGTCACAGTGCAAAGTATATTTTAAACACATTTTTAAAAAACTGAATACATATGTACAGTATATATGTATGTACCACACTCGCACACACATATATATACACATAAGCATGAATACAAATATCCATGCCAAGTTCAGCAAAAGAACGGAATGTTTAAAATGTGGGTCTTTTGTTCCACAGAAATCTGGAAGTCCATTCACCCCAGAACAGTTGGCTGTTTAAAATGGCCAAGAAAATGCCCCCTCCATGAAACAGAAATATTGCCTGCATAAATTGACAACATACTGTATATTTGTTCTCATAATTCACCAGAGAACTGATAACCACACTTTATAAAAGCTTATATTTGTATTAAAAACACACAGATCAAACAATTCATATGGCTATTCCCTTTATGGAAATCTGGATAGCATAATTCAGATGAATATTACTTTTCTGGAGCACCAGACAAAGAGTATTCACTAAAGAGATGAAGTCTACTGCTGCTTCTTTAAAATTTTCTTATAATGTAAAGTTTTACAGCCACCCCTGTAAAAGTGAACACCTGATGCAGATTTTTTCCTTTGGGATTAAGCTGTTTTGGTTCTGAATGTGAATGTGTCAGCTGAAGTCTGTAGCAGAGAATGGATTTCTCGGCACTCTGTGTGAAGTTAGTACTCAGGAAAGCATTGCTTTTTAAAAAACACACAACACCAACTGGCTTTCTGTGTGACGTTTCTAAAACAGTTGTTAGAATACCAGAATGTAACAGTCTTTTTCACTTGGCAGTAAATATTTTATCACATTTTGAGAGGAAACTTTTGCAAACTGAAGACTGTTTATGATGACAAAATATTCTTAAATAAAGAACATGTATGTGAACCTGAGAGTTAAGTCTGATATGAATACGTACATTACATTGTCTCCACTGGCTAGTACTTTCCTTGTTTAAGTCTCTCAATATGGTAGCATAGCTTTAATGCTGGCCCCAACTTCAGTCCCATATATTTCATTATCATATCGCTCCTTAGTAACAGTAGTGCCTTTCCATCAATTTCCTACAGAAGGAATAAATACAACATACATCGGCTTTAACAGGTTACAGGGTAAAATCAAAAAGTACATTGTATTAGTTTATACCATAGTAAAACTTAATGTAGAGTATATAAAACAGTAATTTACTATAATTTAATACCTCCGATGGCTAATAAAACCAAACTGATTTTTATTTAGACATTTAAGTGTTTTATAAGGCACCTTTTGGTAGATATTTGAGATAATACACAAGTCAATAATAAAAGGCATTGGACAAAACCAGATACTGTAAGCAAAATAAAGGTAACTCGGCCAAGAGAAAAATCCAGAAAGGAAGATCTGCTAAAGAAGGGAGGCCTCTCTAGTCAAAGATGAAATGACCCAAACACTGAGGCCTTGCACTGAACCTTGAAAACAGCCGTAGGGAGACTCTGGCATGCATGCATACACACACACACACACACACACACACACACACACACAGAGGAAGGGAGTTACACATCATCTAGATCTGTGACACAAGACAGATCTATGTCTAGCCTAAACCAGATGGAATGTTAGGATCAAAAGCAAGGACAATTGAACAGATTTTCACTGCCTTGAAAAGAAGCTGTTGCAGTTGGACAGGCCTAAGCTATTAAAAAAAGTATTGACAATTCAGTGAATATTTCCCTGAAATTGCATACTGAAACCACTCTTTTTCTAAAACAGAATAGGCTGAAAAATACTATGAAATTTGGTCCCTATTCCAAAAATGTCCAGAAAAACCAAGAAGGGGAGGTGATTTGGGTTTTTTACATTTATCGACCTATATCAATCTATCTATATTTCAGTATCTTGAAGTTTCCTTTGGACCTAGCTTACTCCAAACTTAAAAGAATTTTTATTATGAACTGGTGCAGAGTGCATGAGAAATTTTACACGAAATTTTAAATTTTGCCCAGGTGTAAAGGAATACACAAGGCAGTAGAGACTCTGGCTCGTTGGGTTCACAATAAAAAAAAAGCCAGACACTTCTTGGTGGGGACACTGCCATTTTGAGATGACAGTAGTTCTCTATTAGGCAGCCCATCACGTAACCACACAGTGAAAGGAAAACAGGTGAATGAAAGGAGTATACAGGACATGCACAGTTAGAGCTACTAACTTTTGACCCTCCTAAATATATTATCTAGCTAGTTCTAGTGAAGATTTGCACAGTCTTGGCTAGATTAGACCAAGTAAATGCTTTTCATTATTGTTTTTAACCTTTCTTCTCTCTCCTAATAAAACTGTGTTATCTAAATGCAACGAAGCTTTGCACTTGACTGTTAATATTAAGGATCAGCTATCCTGGGATATCAGAAAAGTTCTATCCTGGGGAGGAAGCATATGTGGTGTCTAAGTGGCCCACAGGTGTCCAAAGTCATGAATGAAGATCCCTCTGAAAGAGGAGGTTACTGGGAGGTTCTTCAAGGTGTGTGGTCCCTATCTGTATTCCACTATTACACATGCGCACCATGCTCTTGGAGCTGGAGAATTTGAAAGTAGCGTCCCTGGGTCTGTGCATGGGCCCCGGCTCATCTCCAACTGAGATGAGGCAGACTCACCGCCTCTCCAGTTCCTTCTCAATTACCACGAATCAGATAAGATTCAAAGCAGAGGGGCAGGAGGGCAAGAAGTGGAATACAGATAGGGACCTTAAATCTCGAAGAATTTCCAGTTGCAGCTAAATAACCCCCTCTTCTTCAAGTGATGGCCCCTATTGTATTCCACTATGGGTGACTGACAAGCAGTACCTAAGAAGGAGGAGGGTGCAAGGGTGTAGATAGCAGGGCTGAGCGGAGTACTGCCATCCCAAAGGAGGCATCAACAGAAGTGTCCTGCACCAGGGAATAAGGTCGGCAAATGTGTGAATGGAGCTCCATGTGGCTGCTTTACAGGTGTCCAAGAGGGCTGCCACCTGAAGAGATGCCATAGTTGTTGATTGTGTTCTGGCGGAATAAGCTCTTACTCCATTGGGGGAAGAGGGTGGGGTGTGGGTGGAGATTTGAAAACGGATGGAGTAGAATGCAGCCAGAGACCCATTTGGAGAGTCTCTGGGTGGAGATGGTGTGCCCTCTGACTCTTTCTGCTATAGCAGAGGTCCCCAAACGGTGGAGCGCACCCCCCTATAGGGGCATGGAGGAACATTCAGGGGGACATAGCTGGGGCCTGGGCCAGCACTGATGGGGGGTGGAGAGGGAGCACCACCCAGCTTTGCTCCTGGCCCTGGCCCCAGGCCCTGGCTGCTGGCCTTGGTCCCTGGCCGAGGCTCTGCTCCCAGCCCCGCCCCCACCGCCGGCCTCACCCCCTTACCCCTGTCCATGCCCCCTGCTCCCAGAGCCACGGACAGAAGGTAAAACATTTGGGGACCACTCTGCTACAGTGACAGACAGCCTCAGGGATTTCCTGTGTGGTTTTGTTCTCTGTAGGCAGAAAGCCAAGGCCTCCGAACATTGAGGATGTGAAGTCTTCGTTCCTCTGAAGAGGAGGTTTTGGAAAGAACACAGGTAAGTGAATGGACTGGTTAAGGTGAATTTCTAAAGCTACCTTAGGGGTGAATTTGGGGGGGTAGATGTAAAGAAAGCATATCCATATGGAATACGTTGTATGGAGGCTCTGCCATCATCCCTTCAAATTTGCCAACCCTCTTGCTGAGGTGATGGCTACAAGAAAAACGACCTTCATGCAACAGAGTGACATGGAGCAAGTCATTAAAGGCTCAAGTAAGGCCTTGTGAGTACTGAGAAAACAAGGTTCAGGTCCCACTGGGGCTGTAAGCTTGGCCTTTCCAGAATCTATTGGTCAGTGGATCTTTGAAAACCAAATAGCCCTGAGAAGGTGCATGGGATGTGCTGGTCGCCACCAAGTGGTCACGCAAGGCGCTAATGGACAAACCTTATGTCTTCAAAGATAGGATAGAGTCCAAGATGAGAGGAATAGCCATAGTCTTTGGGAGAACACTCTTCGTTGTGCCCAAGAAGAGAAGTGCTTCCATTTAGCTAGGTAACATTTTCTAGTAGAGTCCTTTTTACTATTGGAGAAGATGTCTCGTACAGCTGTGGAGCATAAACATTCTAATGATGATGCCCATCCAAATATCATGCCCTGAGGTCGAGCGGACACAGATCAGGGTGCTTGATGCTGCCGTTCTACTGGGTCAAGAGCTCGGGGAAGGCTGGGATAACATGCATACGAAATTGGGAAAACAGAACTGCCCAGGCCAGAAGGGGGCAATCAAGATTACACATTACTGAGTTGCGGAGTTCTCACTCCTGGTCGACTGTGAAATGTCTGCTGAGGAAATCTGCGAGCACATTTTGCTTCCCCAGAAGGTAGGCTGCCAACAGAGTGATCTGATTGCTGATGCACCACCTTTCGCTTCAAATTCAATAATAGCAGGGAAACTCACAAAAACTTCCTCCACAGATTAGTAACGTGAGCAAGCCTAGCAGAATAGAAATAGAAAATATCATACGTGTCTCCTGAAGAGTTCTGCATGGGGTGCTAATGCCTGAGGATCAGCTTCTTTCACAAATTGCATTACTTCATCTATTGACCAGGTAGAAGGATCCTTATTTGGTACTCGTGAGGGTTCCCTTTTTAGTGCACTGAGATCAGGACCTGTTGTAGAACTTGCAGCTTAAATGTAAAACATTGGCAAAGGGAGAAATGTCATAAGTGTCAATGTAGTAAAAACACATCCTTGCAGACTCAAACGAAAGGAAAAATAACACATTGTTAGTGTCCCGTATTAGTAGCAGTCCTCTCTCTTCTACCAGTGTATCAACCTAGCTAAGATCACTCAAATTCTTTTACAATTTATTAAAATGAAAAATATTTGATTTTCCTTCTAAAGAGTCACCGAGATGTTCTATTTGGGTCACAGCATGAATCTGTGTTCAGATGACTTCTACAACTGCAAATACACACAACAGTATAAGTGTTAGCACTATGTACCATCAGGGAGGGATCAGTTTGAGACATTTGGTTCCTAGCTCCCAAGACACCAGCAGCTGGGAATGCTGTGCAGGAAGGGAAGGGAACCCCTCACTGCAAATTTCAGTGATCCTTTGGCCAACTTGGCAGCAGTACTTGAGAAGCTGGAGAATGAGCTGTAACCAGCACTGCCCGGCCAGGCAGGCTGCAGGGTCTTTGATAGCTAGCAGAGTAAAAAATCGTATGCAGGATTTCTCTGCCTTGTACAGTATTAGAGTTAAAAGCTTAAATTCTGTATTTTGAAATCACGTTAGATGGTCTGACATGTTTGCCTAAGTCTGACTCCTTATGTGAAGTCTTGGATGTCAAAGCACTTTGCTTCATAATTCATTACCCACTGACTTTGCATACTGCTAAAAAGTAGTTAGCAATGCACACATTTTAAAAGGTTAAGTGTATGCCATACCTTCAATCCTCCTCTGCATTCGATTCCTATTGACTTCATAGTAACTGCTGTTCCCAGCAGAGCTTGATGACAGCCTGTGTAGGACTGGGGCTGAGTTTGAAGCAGCAGTCACTGGCTGAAGGGAATTTCTATAATATGCTGCACTCCCTGAGGTACGATATTCAGTGGAATTTCGGCAGGTTGGGCTTGCAGGATTTACTGAATTGAGCGCAGAATCCACAGAGTCCTCAGAAAATCGGTGTTCTTTGGCAGTGCCATGTTCTTCAGTTGGCAATGTTTCTGCTACATAATATGAGTAACACAAATACCAATCTATTCAACATGTTAGATTTTTGTAACCTTGTTATTTAATTCTATGCTATTTATTTTTAACACTAACTACAATTTTTAAGCCTGTCAACAAGCTCCCCATAAAGCAAGCACCAAATACAATTAGCACCATTCTCCTTCTCTTATTTAAGTAAAAGTAGTCAGTAGGAAGTTCCTAACATACATTTAAAGTTACAGCTGTTAAAAAACCTGATTATTATAGAGTTTGATGAGAGCTTGAAGGTCACTTTGGATCATACAAAATATATGAAATTTTCAATACTTCATTTCACTGTCGTTTCATTCTATACAAAACAAAACTATATTATCAACAAAGGGAAGAGTTGATTCTCTAAGAATTATCTGAAGGTAGTATCAATACATTTGCAGTTATAGGCATAGATATAATCACCAAGGAACCATATCCACAGTTTAAACATTTTTTCTAAAGCGCAGCCATTAAGCCTGTGTTATGTTTATCCTGTAAGAGATTTTTAGTAGGAATAAAAGATAAACCCGCTGTGTAATATTTAATTTGCCTCGTCTAAGCAATACAGAGAACCATCAACTTCTAATTAGAAACAAGTGTGCAACTGTGTATCTATAGATCATACTATCTTCAGATACAGTGGCCCTCTTTATGAAGTCAACAGATTGCAAACCGTTGCCACAATTATTTCCTGTATTGAGGAAAATCCTGGTATTTCAGATACTGATGTGCTAATTATTAAGAAATACTGACCACTGTACTTCACTTACACGCAGGCAACTCTTCTCTGGATATGAAAATATAAATGAAACCAATTAAATACATTCTGGCTTAAGAAAGAGGTAACAACCCTTTGATAAAATTTGAAAAAGGAAGTGTTTATCAGCTAATCTCTAGTCTTTAAAACATATTCTCAAACTCCACTTCGATGCTTCCCAGGACTGAATGCAGAGTGTAGACATCTGCTTCAGAGTCAGCTAAAGGTTGTTGCTATACAGCAACATAACAAAGTCCTTCCACCTGCCTATAGGGCTTGAGTGTTTGGTCTGTTTCAGTTTTTTTAAAAATCACTGACTGTTGAAGACTAATAATATAGTCTGATTAAAGTATGGCCCAGATTGGTCAATATGCTATTTGAGAAAAAAGAAATTAGTTGGCAAGAAATTGTTCCATTTTTTAGCAATAAATTTCTCTCTACTCACATTAGACAAATCTAGCACTGAGAAAGAAAAAAGAAAGGGAGTAATGATGGATTTGGAGAAAGACTGATAACTGCTGTGAAATACGCTTCTAAAATGCATGCTCTTTACTCTTCTAGCATTTGTAGCTTTTATTTATTTTCTGCATCACACAAACATCTGGAATTAAAAAGATGGTAAAAGAACCGTTTTCCTGAAAACTTGTGATGTTTTCACATTTGGCTTTAGAGGCTTTGTCAAAACTTGGCTTAGAGGTATTCTTGAGATCTGGAAGCACTTGGTTTATTTTAGCAGTGATTATTTTAACATAATCCTGAAGGAAAATAAGAAATAAGAAACTCTCTCTATGGTTTAAGCAATTAATTAATAAATCCTTCTTGCTGACATAACCCAATTGCAAAATGAAGAAAGAAGGGTTTCAAGGGCTGTCTATTTGGTTACTTCTACTTAGAACACCACCTTTCTGTGACAAATATTGAGTAAAACTGGTTCAGGCCTTGAAAGCTTAGACTTTCCAGAACTGGCCAAGAAGGAAAACTATTACTGTGCAAGAGATTAAAAAGTCTGCTCGACATGCATCTATATCAAAAGGTGAAAACATCCTCCTCTTGGCTACTGAGGCCTGCATATAATTAAAAAAAAAATAAAATCAGAGGACTTGAAAAAAACAGGAGAAGCTAGAAAATGAGATCATTGCTGGAAATTTATGCTGAATAGAAGAGTTTGAGAATCAACTGCAGATATAAATCTCAGGATTTTTGGTTTCTAGAATAAATTAACTGGAGGGGATACACTGTAATAGGGATTAATGTCTGGAACCCTTTGGTTTAAACCACCATACAATTTCTAGTGCCATAGAAAGGGTCCATTTTATTGCAAGGAAGCAGACGACCCTGTCAGGAAAAAAATATATTTTTTTTTTTTTTTTTTTAACTCGACACACTGAGGAAGCAGAAAGATTGTCAGGGTGCATAATGTTACACGAGACTCATATTTTACTTATCCAGATTATGCAGCCTTATCTCTGAAGTCAGAGACCTTGGAGATAATGGTGGTGTCTGAGACGAAGACTTCTTTAAGACATCTTCACGAAATTCTGAGACAGAAGATTTTTTTTCTTTTCAAGATATTAGGGATTTGAAAATCTCCTGAAATAGGCCTTGGATTCACATATGCAAGGTAGGAAAGTTCACAGAAGTCAGAATTTAAGGCCTGAAGTGCCACCAGATCATCTAGTCTGACGTCCTACGTATCACAGGCCACCAACACCACCCGGCACCTGCACACTAAACCCAACAACCAAAATTAGTCCAAAGTATTACAGCCTATAGGAGACTAAACTATTATGTGCCAGCGGGAGAGTCAGGAGGTGCACCAATGGCCCTGCAATGGCAAGGAATGGATTAAGAGAGAGATACCCAGGTGATCCCGGCTTGCTGACAGGAAGGCAACCCCTTGCCCCCAGATCATTGCCAATCTGACCTGGGGGAAATTAATTCCTGACCCCAAATATGGCAATCAGTTAGACTCTGAGTATGTGGGCAAGAGTTAGCCAGCCCAGCACCTCAGAAAGAGAGAAAGAATGCTCCGTACCATCCTAGCGCACCAGCCCGCCCCATCTAGAGTCCCACCTGAAGCCATGGCCATCTCTGATGCTTCTGAGGAAGGAGACAAAACAACCCAGAGTACACTGGGGCAAAAAAATCTCTTCCTGACCCCTGCAGGTGACCATCTGATACACGGAAGCATGAGATTATAGGGATATAAAACATAAACTGGTAATAGCCTGTGGGGACACCTGAAACATTTGTATAACTGGGCATTCAGATAAACAGAAGTGTTATTTTGAGCTGGATTCCTGCTGCAGGCTGGAAGGCAGTGAAGGTCTGGGTACAGCTGGGAAGCGAGGGGGCTGAAGAGCCACGCAGGGGTACTGTTTTGCCCAACTGGGTGCTGTTGTTGCCCTTCCTAGATTATCTTTAATCTTTTCCCCATGCTCACTCCATAGCAACCCAACCTCATCCATCCTTATTCACTTCTAATTTATATAACTAAGAAACCTCTGGTTATTTATTTTAATTTTCTGAGCAAGAGCTAATTAAGCTAGATCTAGCAATTTTCACTTTATTTCTACATTTTTAACCTCCAAGAGATAGCTGTCTAGGCTAATCAATCCCCTTTTTCATTCCCTGTAGGCTCTCTGCTTATTCCTAATAACCTTTTTGGGATGGTTTCTCATCCAGTTGGTCTGGAGGCTTTCCGTACAAGATTTTTCCCCTTGCTTGGGATGCAAATTGTGTACAGTTTTTATATATTTGTTTAAAGAAATTCCAAGCCTCCACTACTTTTAGATTCTTGAACTCACCAGTACAGTTTATATTGTTAACTAAATTTCCTTATTTCTCCAAATCTGCCTTTTTGAAATAAGCCATAGTTGATGACCTGGCTTTGATTATTTCTCCATTTAATTTAAACTGAATCAATTCATGATCACTCAATCCCAGGGTGATATAACCAGCTCAGAATAATCCTTTTTAAATCAAGATCCCCTTGTTCAACCAGCAGGCTGTCACTTTTCAGTGAATCTGGGATGCTGTAATGGCCCCACTTTAAGGAGACCTTGTCTAACCAGCAGTCATTTGGTCTGAGATCTGAGTCAGTTTTGGTATTTGATAGAATGCCCAAGAAGACTTTAACTGATATTTTGAATATCTGAAATAAGCTATGGAGAGAAGCCACAGACATGAGGTTTTCTTAAGTCTTGTTGGAAGTTCTACTTCCAAATCCTTGGTGTTTGGAGCAGGCTATTGACAAACAAGGAAAGAAACCTTATGGTTGAGCATAACAGAGGCCTATGTCTTAGCCTGAAGATCCTTCACAAGAATTTGAAACATCTTTTAGATCCTCTGGGAATTGGGAGCAAAAGTCAAAGGTTCTTCTTAATACAGGATTAGAATGATGTATTTGGCTACAGTAGTTAGCCACTTAGGTTGCAGCTTTTTTCCATTATCCTCCATGGCTGCAAAGAGGAAACTGTCACCTAGCAGAACAGATAGCAGAAATATCCCTGAGCAGATTAGAAAGAAAAAGTGTTGCTAAAAGAAGATCCTTTCCAACAGATATTCTTGGTCTTTCTTGCTAACCAGCCCATGAGAGAGAGATCTGAAATTACCTCCAAGTTTTCAGTAGATGACGCTGCCCTAAAAGGCTGTGTGGGAGACATACAACGCTGGAGAATATTTTGCCTCTTCAAACACATAAAAACCTTATTGAAAACTTATCAAAATGTTTGAAGACAACACAAATTCTGACCCGTAAATATGGCAACATTTATTTTCCCTACAGATTTTTTTTTTGGAAATCCAGGAAACCATAGTGTATAATAAATGAACTACTGGTTCTTAAAACTTCCTTGTACTATGTAGTTATTAGACCTATATATTGAATAGGGATAGGAAAGTGATCAAGCTTATTTTGAGTGCACAAGATTCCTTACTGGATACTGCAGCTAACTGGCCTATATTTGAATCATACATTTTGGTTTGCTCCAGTTTGAGCAACCGTATTTTAGTACAGCTTAGGGTACTAAGCCATGTGTTATATTTATTCATGGACATAGCCAGACTCCTCTAAGTCCATGTCCATTAGAAACGTCTGACTCAATTCCACAGATTTATTGTATGTATAAAATAGTATCTCCTTTTTAAATCAACTCTAACTTTGCTACCAATTTCTGTGTCCCCTGCCTCTGTTATTAGAATAGATGAAAAGGAATGACTGATCTGTCTTAAATAAGCCTAGCATTTATCCTCATCTCCTCTTTCTTTCTAAATATAGTATAATGGCTCCATCTGCAGAGGAGCAGAGATCTCACTGAAGCTAGTGGGAGCTGCAGGAGCTCAGAACCTCTCAAAAGTCAGGTCACAAATCTCTAATTGACTCTCATAATCAACCCTTGCAAATCTCCTGCCACCCTCACTGTCCTTTTCTGAACTCAAGTTAGGCTACCAACAGAGAGTGCAATACTCTAGTGGTGCAGAGAGTATGTGTATTTTACACAGTTGTTATAGTAGCTTATTTTATATCCCATTATAATGGGATGTAGCAGCCTACTGGCTTTTTAGTAAGCTGTTGCACATTAAGCAGACAGCTTCATTCATCAGCGGTCTGCGGTGAACCTTTAAACCCTTTCCCAAAAAAGAGCTAGTTGTGTTAGAGGCCAAAGCTCCCTTTAGTTCTCCCAATGTGCAATATTTGTGCCCACTCACCAATAATTACTTATACGTCCCCCTCCCCCACTCTGACTATGCATTCTGTCAACAGCGGATGGCTAAGGCTAGACAAAATTAATTGTACTTGTTTCTCTTTTATTTGAAATACTATGAACACAAATAACCCTCCCACAAACTGCAACAAATACACTTAAGTTACCTTCAGATGGGTGAGCGTCAGGTCTGGGGAGTTTAGGAGAGAGAGGGGCAGTGTAGGGCGGAGAATCCTGAGAATATCGTTTAGTACTTCTGTTTTCTGAAATTTCCTCTTTTGCTGTCAATAGAAAAGTTACAGTCTTTCATTTCAGAACTAATAAAATTGTTGGGGGAAAAGAGGAAAGACACAAAAGTGAGGTGAATGTGTGCTGTATTCACTTACTGGATTTTAATTCGCTCCCCATATTGTGTGTCTTTTAATGGCTGTAACACAACTCAGACAGGTTTCAGAGTAACAGCCGTGTTAGTCTGTATTCGCAAAAAGAAAAGGAGTACTTGTGGCACCTTAGAGACTAACCAATTTATTTGAGCATAAGCTTGCGTGAGTTACAGCTCACTTCATCGGATGCATTCGGTGAGCTGTAGCTCACGAAAGCTTATGCTCAAATAAATTGGTTAGTCTCTAAGGTGCCACAAGTACTCTTTTTTTTTTTTTTTTTTTACAACTCAGACAGTGCTACCTTATACCATTCTTAAACATTACCCACAAGTCTTCAGTGATATCATCTTTCACTATTAGCTTAACCTTATCAGGCAGGCTCAGTTATCACCCCACAAACTTTCAGGGCTAAAATATAGTTGGGTTAGACAGTTATACCCAAGTTGCCTTGAGCTGACTTCACCCTGAAGAGAGTTCAAAACAGCACTTCTCGCTTGACAGACAAGATAAGAGAAGCTTAATGGCATATCACATCTATTTTTCCTCCTTATTAACCAAATCTACAAAAATTACAGCTAGATTACAGCTTGTTTTAACTAGCAGCTCCATAGGAGTTAAAAAACACTAGTGACTTCCAAAGGAGCACACAGGAACATTGCAGCTTCTATACAGCCATCCACGTTTCTCCCCTAATAAGAATCTTTTGAGACTACAGCCACGTCAAATATTTGCCGTTATGAGCTACTGGATTGAGCACTGGACTGTGAGACTCAGGAGACTTGGGTTCTATTCCCAACTCTGCCACTGACCTGCTGGGTGACTTGGGGTAAGTCACTTTTCCCATCTGTAAAACGGAGATAACGTTACTGACCTCCTTTGTAAAGTGCTTTGAGATCCACTGTTGCTATTATATATCACAAATATTTCTAGCAGAAGTATAGCTGCCATCTAACTAAAAATCAAGAGCTACAGGAATAGGGTAAAACAGTTACTAACCTTTCTGTAACTGTTGTTCTTTGAGATGTGTTGCTCATGTCCATTCCAAGTTAGGCGTGCATGCATCACATGCACTGTTGCCAGAGATTCTTCCCTCAGTGGTATTTGTCAGGCTGGTTCTAGCACCCTCTGGGGTTGCACGCTCATGCACCGGTATAAGGAGCCTGGCCAGCCCTGCATCCTCACAGTTCCTTTTTGCCAGCTAACTCTGACAGAGGGGCAAGAGGGTGGGTCGTGGAATGGACATGAGCTACACGTATTGAAGAAAAACAGTTATGGAAAGGTTAGTAACTGTTTTTTCTTCTTCTTCTTCGAGTGCTTGCTTGCTTCGAGTGCTTGTTCATTCCATGTTAAATGAATCCCAAGCAATACCCAAGGAAGTGGGGTCAGAGTTCACAGACATGTGGCTCACAACACTGCTCTATCAAACTTGGTATCATGTCTAGTCTGCAGGGTGATGGCACAGTGGGAGGAGAAGGTATGTAGATGACCAGGTCGCTGCTCTGCAGATGTCTTGGACTGGGACCCGGGCCAGAAACACTGCTAATGAAGCCTGAACTCTCGTCAAATGGGATGTCAAGATGGCAGGAGGTGGGATGCCGGCCTGCTCATTGCACTTACAAATGCAAAAAATGATCCAGGATGAAATTCTCTGAGCGGAAACCGGTAGGTCTTCCATCCTGTCTGCTACTGCCACAAAGATCTGCGTGGATTTATGGAATGGCTTCATCCTCTCAATGTAGAGGGCCAGGGCACACCTCTGTGTGATGCTTCTTCTCCAAATTCTTGTGCAGTTTTTGGAAGAAAACTGGCAGGAAAAAACCTGATTACCATGAAACTGTCAGACCACCTTTGGGAGGAATGCTGTAAGGGGGCATATTTGAAGCTGGTCCTTAAAGAACATAGTACACAGGCATTCTGACACAAGGACTCAGATTTCTGAGACCCTCCTGGCCGAGGTAATCACTACCAGGAAGGTGACCTTTCAGGAGATACATAAGAGGGCACAATGCTAGCAGCTCAATGGGAGGGCTTGTGAGTCTTGACAGGTTTAGGTCCCACGAGGGAATGGGTTTGCGAGTTTGAGGGTAAAGTCTCTCTTATCCCTTGTGGGAGAAGACCAACTTTCTGTCCATCAGAGGGTGGAAGCCTGAGATTGCTGCTAGATGCACCTTGATCGATGAAATGGCTAGGCCCTATTGTTTCAGATGGAGCAGGTACTCCAGCACAAACTGGAGGGGTGATCGAGTTGTTGAGAGGCCTCACTGGGATGACCACTCCGAGAAACGCTTCCATGTGGTGAAGTAAGTCGCTTTAGCAGATGGTTTCCTACTACCTAGCAAGACCTAGTGGACTTGTTCTGAACAAGCTAGCTCTGCCGGATTCAACCATGGAGCTTCCACGCTGTCAGGTGGTGGGTCTTGAGGTTCAGGTGGGGCAGACGGCCATGATCTTGCAAGATCAGGTCCCTGAAGGGTGGGAGTGGTAATGGGGCTGCTACTGTCAGATCCTCTAGCCTGCCGAACCAGTTTTGATACGACCATGCAGGGGCTATAAGAATAACTCTTACTTTGTCTCGCCTTACTTTCAGTAGGACCTTGTGTACAAGAGGAATGAGGGAAACGAGTAGAACAGGTGCTTTGTCCACGGGAGTAGGAAGGTACCTGTGAACTAGCCCAGGCTGCAACCACATAGTGAGCAAAATTGCTGACATGAACAGGTCTACAAGGGGAAACTTCCATCTCTGAAAGATGGATCTTGCTGTGTTGAGGCAAAGGGACCACTTATGGTGAGAAGAGAAAGACCTGCTTAAGTGATCTGCCAGAGCGTTCTGGGCTCCCGGAAGGTAAGAAGCTTTGAGGCGGATGAAGTGCTTCCCTCAGAAGTCCCACAGGTGAAAGGCCTCTTGGCACAAGGTGGACAAGCGTGTTCCTCCCTGCCTGTTGATGTAAAACATGGCTGTTGTGTTGTCCATGAGTAGTCGCACTACTTCGCCTGCGATCTGTGGTAGGAACACCTGGCATGCTAGGCGGACCATTCTGAGCTCTCTGACCTTTATATGCAAGGAGACCTCCTCCTGGGACCACAGGGCTCGAGTCTTGAGGTACTTGAGGTGAGCCCCACACCTAGATTAGATGCGACCAAGATTAGGGATACTGATGGCTGGGGAGCGACAAAGGGAATGTCTGCCCTCACCAATTGGAGATTCTTCCAGGAGTTGAGGGAAGCGAGGACTGGGGTGGGAACTGTAAGCACTCAGTCCAAGTGGCGACAGCTCAGTGAGTACACTGAGACCAGCCAAGCTTGAAGGGGAGGATGGTAGTGGACCTGATTTATGATGAATTTGAGGAGCCTCCTGTGGCACCAGAAAAGACATGTGGAAATAGGCGTCTTTTCAAGTCGAGGGCGGTGTACCAATCCCCTGGATCCAGGGAGGGAATAATGGAGGCCAGGGAGATCATTCAGAACCTCAGCTTCTTGAAATAACTGTTGAGGCGACACAGGTCTAGGATGGGTCAGAGACGCCCTTTGGGACTAGGAAATAACAGGAGTAAAACCCTTTTCCTCTCAAATTCTAAGGCACATCCTCCACAGCCCCTACTCGAAGGAGAGCTTGCATCTCCTGGAGTAGAAGTTGTTCGTAAAAAGAGCCCCTGAAGAGAGACTGGGATGGGGGGGTAGGGTGGAAGAAAACTGAAGGGTGTAACCTTTCTCCACCATACTCAGTACCCAGTGGTCCAAGGTGATGAGGGACCACACCAGGCTGAAGTGGAAGAATTGGTCTGAAAACAAAAGGGGGGCAGGATCTGGTAGGGGAACTGATATAACACCCTTGAGCGCCTCTTCAAAAGTGGGGACTCCTGGGTATTTGTGTGAACCTGGAGCAAGGTTGAGGTGTGTCATAAATATAAAGGGAAGGGTAAACCCCTTTAAAATCCCTCCTGGCCAGAGGAAAACTCCTCACCTGTAAGGGTTAAGAAGCTAAAGGTAACCTCGCTGGCACCTGACCAAAATGACCAATGAGGAGACAAGATACTTTCAAAAGCTGGGAGGAGGGAGAGAAACAAAGGGTCTGTGGGTCTGTCTTTATGCTGCTTTTGCCGGGGATAGACCAGGAATGGAGTCTTAGAACTTTTAGTAAGTAATCTAGCTAGGTATGTGTTAGATTATGATTTCTTTAAATGGCTGAGAAAAGAATTGTGCTGAATAGAATAACTATTTCTGTCTGTGTATCTTTTTTGTAACTTAAGGTTTTGCCTAGAGGGATTCTCTATGTTTTGACTCTAATTACCCTGTAAGGTATCTACTATCCTGATTTTACAGAGGGGATTTCTTTACTTCTATTTACTCCTATTTCTATTAAAAGTCTTCTTGTAAGAAAACTGAATGCTTTTTCATTGTTCTCAGATCCAAGGGTTTGGGTCTGTGGTCACCTATGAAAATTAGTGAGGCTTTTTATCCAACATTTCCCAGGAAAGGGGGGCATGCAAGTGTTGGGAGGATTGTTCATTGTTCTTAAGATCCAAAGGTCTGGGTCTGTAGTCACCTAGGCAAACTGGTGAGGCTTTTTACCAAACCTTGTCCAGGAAGTGGGGTGCAAGGTTTTGGGAAGTATTTGGGGGGAAAGACGTTTCCAAACAGCTCTTCCCCAGTAACCAGTATTTGTTTGGTGGTGGTAGCGGCCAATCCAAGGACAAAGGGTGGAATATTTTGTACCTTGGGGAACTTTTTGACGTAAGCTGGTAAAGATAAGCTTAGGAGGTTTTCATGCAGGTCCCCACATCTGTACCCTAGCGTTCAGAATGGAGGAGGAACCTTGACAAGGTGGAAGGAGAGGTTGCCTGCGCCTATAACACCTGTTCGGTTTCTTAAATAGGTCTTGGTGAAGTGGCAGAGCCAAGAAGCAGGCTCGTTGTTGAAGTCTGAAGTGCTTCCTTGAAGATACTGGGACAGAAAGGCCCTGGGACCTGAGAGTGGCCCTAGAATCTTTCAGGCCAGGGAGTTTTGTATCCATTATTTTGGAGAAGAGAGAGGTTCCCTCAAATGGAAGGTCTTGAATGGACAGCTGAACCTCCAGTGGTCGTCTTGAGTATTGGAACAAAGAGCATCTTCACATGACCACCGCAGATGCCATTGTTCTAGCAACTGTGTCAACTGCGTCTGGGGCCACTTGGAGGGAAGCCCTGGCTATAGTTTTCCTTTCCTCAACCAGAGCGAAGAAATCCTGTTTGGACTCCTGGGGCAGCAAGTCCTTGAATTTTGACACTAGTCTCAGATGTTATAGTCATACCTCCAACGCAAGGCCTGTTGGTTGGAGATGAAGAGCTGTAACCCACAAGTAGAATAAATCTTTCTACCAAACAGGTAAAGCTTCTGAGTCCTTTGTGGGTGGCGGCTTGCAGCCCTTGCCTGTCTCTTTCATTGGCTGCTGCAACCACAAGGGACCCGGGAGGAGGATGGGAATATAGGTATTCATACCCCTCGGTGGGAACAAAGTACTTTTTCTCTGCCTTTTTTGAAGTGGGTGAGCAGAGGATGGGATCTGCCACAGGTATGTGACTGGACCCACAACAGCCTCATTGAGGGGTAGGGCCACTTTTGACAGGGCTGCTGCAACCAAAATGTTGATCATGCTGTGTGAGGACTCTTTAAGCACTTTCACCTCCAGCCCTTTTCAGTAGCTCCTGGTGAGCTCTAAAGTCGTCCTGTGGTGCAGAGCCGCTCGGCCCCGACACAGCTTCATCTGGGGAAGAAGAGGCAGCAGCCTGTACTGGCAGGAGCCTTCCTCTTCTTCTGCACCGACCATGTCACGCAGCCCCAAGTCCTAAGTATGAATACCGGGCTTGGTGCCAGAGTCCATGTCAAGTGGGGTGGCAGAGGGGCCCTTCTCTTGGACGCCGCCAAGTACGAACAGCTGGAAAGCAGTCCCTGTACTGAGGGGAAACCCCACGAATGCCAAAAAGGCCGCTGGACCTGCATAGGGGCTGCTGTTCATCAGGCCAGGCTCCTGGAGGGGGCCTCACATCAGGATCTGATAGAACATAATTCGGGTACTGGTATTGGCCCCTTGGTTGGGTGCCCGACTCCACCTCCGACTCTGAGAATGAGTCAGCTTGTGGGGACGGTACCCCTCACCTCTGTCAGCCAATGCCGAGGGTCTGGGGAATGGTGCCATGGTTGGGAAGACTTCGCCGACATCAGCAGGGTCGGTTTTCCTCTGGTCAGTACCAGTGGACCTGATGCTGGATAGGACCTTGGGGCAACATGCTCCCTACTGCTTGACGACCTTGCCAGTGCTGGAACTTACCCCGCAAGAGTGGGTGATACCAAGAGAGCCATCTGGTCCCCTGGCTGTTGCAAACACCTCCGGGGTTGATGACACCACTATTCCTTTGGCACCATGATGACCCTCTGGTGTTGATGGGTGGTCCTGCACCAGACTCAACAGCACCTGCCAGAAAGGTGGAGTTAAAATTGCTGTTTGCAGAGCAGGATAGAGGAGTGGTCCAACACAGGTCTCAGTCTGCTGCACTCGCCAGGCTTATCCTTACTCAGTTCTAGGGAGCATCCCCTCTTCGACCGCTGTTTCTTGTGTTTCTTCCTTGGCACCAGTGAAGGGGAACGATGCTGAGAGACCCATGCCGCTGGAGAAGCACTCCGAACCAACGCCGAGGTACTGGGTGCAGAGTCTGACCGGCTTGGCTCCAATGCCAGTCTGAGTGCAGGTTCCATCAGGATGGACCTTAGCCTAGCCTCCCTGTCCTTTTTCATATGAGGCTTGAACTGGCAGCAGATCTGGCTATGCTCTTGCACGTGAGCCTTCCCCAGACACTTTGGACAGCTACAGTGTAGGTTGCTCATGGGCTTGCTGCAGGCAAGCTTGGAGATTTGAAGCTTGGAGACTGGGGCATGCCTGACCCTATGGGCAGAGCATGCCCCTCTATGCTAAATATGGGGGGGGGGTCCTAACCATATACACTAATAGTAAAAGAAATAAAATGAAGATAACTAAACTTGTGAAAAAAAAAGGAGGAAATAACAGAACCACTGATTGAACACACTGCCGGGGCAAAATAATTTGTTCCCGTAATTGCACTGTTAAACAATAGAATACCAATTGAAATTTATTAAATAATTTGGATGTTTTTCTACATTTTAAAATATATTGATTTCAATTACAACACAGAATACAAAGTATACAGTGCTCACTTTATATTATTTTTATGAATATTTGCACTGTAAAAATGATAAACAAAAGAAATAGTATTTTTCAATTCACCTCATACAAGTACTATAGTGCAATCTCTTTATTGTGAACGTGCAACTTACAAATTTAGATTTTTTTTGTTACATAACTGCACTCAAAAAGAAAACAATGTAAAACTTTAGAGCCTACAAGTCCACTCAGTCCTACTTCTTGTTCAGCTAATTGCAAAAACAAACAAGTTTGTTTACATTTACTGGAGATACCGCAGCCCGCTTCTTATTTATAATGTCACCTGAAAGTGAAAACAGGCTTTCACATGGCACTTTTGTAGTTAGCTATTTACGTGCTAGATATGCTAAATGTTCATATGCCCCTTCGTGCTTCGGCCACCATTCCAGAGGACATGTTTCAATGCTGATGATGCTCGTTAAAAAAACTGTGTTAATTAAATTTGTGACTGAACTCAGAGGAGGAGAATTGTATATCTCCTGTTCTGTTTTACATGCATTCTGCCATATATTTAATGTTATGGCAATCTCGGATCATGATGCAGCACGTTCGTTTTAAGAACACTTACACAGCAGATTTGACTAAATGAAAAGAAGGTACCATGTGAGATTTCTAAAAATAACCACAGCACTCGACCAAAGGTTTTAAGAATCTGAAATGCTGTCCAAAATCTGAGAGGGATGAGGTGTACTTCAGTCCCCGGAAAAATCATGGAGCAGGTCCTCAAAGAATCAATCCTGAAGCACTTACATGAGAGGAAAGTGATCAGGAACAGTCAGCATGGATTCACCAAGGGAAGGTCATGCCTGACTAATCTAATCGCCTTCTATGATGAGATTACTGGTTCTGTGGCTGAAGGGAAAGCAGTGGATGTATTGTATCTTAACTTTAGCAAAGCTTTTGACACGGTCTCCCACAGTATTCTTGTCAGCAAGTTAAAGAAGTATGGGCTGGATGAATGCACTATAAGGTGGGTAGAAAGTTGGCTAGATTGTCGGGCTCAACGGGTAATGATCAATGGCTCCATGTCTAGTTGGCAGCCGGTGTCAAGTGGAGTGCCCCAGGGGTCGGTCCTGGGGCTGGTTTTGTTCAATGTCTTCATAAACGATCTGGAGGATGGTGTGGATTGCACTCTCAGCAAATTTGCGGATGATACTAAACTGGGAGGAGTGGTAGATACGCTGGAGGGCAGGGATAGGATACAGAGGGACCTAGACAAATTGGAGGATTGGGCCAAAAGAAATCTGATGAGGTTCAATAAGGATAAGTGCAGGGTCCTGCACTTAGGACGGAAGCACCCAATGCACAGCTACAGACTAGGGACCGAATGGCTAGGCAACAGTTCTGCGGAAAAGGACCTAGGGGTGACAGTGGACGAGAAGCTGGATACGAGTCAGCAGTGTGCCCTTGTTGCCAAGAAGGCTAATGGCATTTTGGGATGTATAAGCAGGGGCATAGCGAGCAGATCGAGGGACGTGATCGTTCCCCTCTATTCGACATTGGTGAGGCCTCATCTGGAGTACTGTGTCCAGTTTTGGGCCTCACACTACAAGAAGGATGTGGATAAATTGGAGAGAGTCCAGCGAAGGGCAACAAAAATGATTAGGGGTCTGGAACACATGAGTTATGAGGAGAGGCTGAGGGAACTGGGATTGTTTAGTCTGCGGAAGAGAAGAATGAGGGGGGATTTGATAGCTGCTTTCAACTACCTGAGAGGTGGTTCCAGAGAGGATGGTTCTAGACTATTCTCAGTGGTGGAAGAGGACAGGACAAGGAGTAATGGTCTCAAGTTGCAGTGGGGGAGGTTTAGGTTGGATATTGGGAAAATCTTTTTCACTAGGAGGGTGGTGAAACACTGGAATGCGTTGCCTAGGGAGGTGGTGGAATCTCCTTCCTTAGAAGTTTTTAAGGTCAGGCTTGACAAAGCCCTGGCTGGGATGATTTAATTGGGGATGGGTCCTGCTTTTGAGCAGGGGGTTTGACTAGATGACCTCCTGAGGTCCCTTCCAACCCTGATATTCTATGATTCTATGATTCTATACAGCATGCTTTCTGAAGTCTTAAAAGAGCAATGATCCGATGTGGAAACTACAGAACCCAAACCACCAAAAAAGAAAATCAACCTTCTGCTGGTAGCATCTGACTCATGATAATGAAAATGAACATGAACATGGGTTAGTCTGCTCTGCTTTGGATCATTATCGAGCAGAACCTGTCATCAGCATGGACGCATGTCCTCTGGAATGGTGGTTGAAGCATGAAGGGACATATGAATCTGGCACGTAAATATGTTGTGATGCCAGCTACAACAGTGCCATGCGAACACCTATTCTCACTTTCAGATGACAATGTGAACAAGAAGCAGGCAGCATTATCTCCTGCAAATTGTAACCAAACTTGTTTGTCTGAACGATTGGCTGAAGTAGGACTGAGTGTACTTGTAGGCTCTGAAGTTTTACATTGTTTTATTTTTGAAAGCAGTTATTTTTTGTATATAATTCTACATTTGTAAGTCCAACTTTCACGATAGAGACTGTACTACAGTATTTGTATTAGGTGAATTGAAAAATACTATTTCTTTTTTTTACAGTGCAAATATTTTTAATAAAAAATAAATATAAAGTGAGCACTGTATACTTTGTATTGTGTTGTAATTGAAATAAAAATATTTGAAAATGTAGAAAACATCCAAAAATATTTATATAAATAGCATTTTATTATTGTTTTACAGTGCGATTAATCGCAATTAATTTTTTTTAGTTGCTTGACAGCCCTACTAAACATCTTTAACATTAATGCTTTTAGTTTCAGATGGTGACCTTCATTATGAGAGAGAGATATTTTTTTCTACATCATTTTCTGGTCTTACTCCTTTAGTTTTAGGATTATTTCATTTCAACTCTCACTTCTTCAGTTTTCTATAGAATTATCTTAGTCTCACTATGGGCTAAGTCCCGGATACTAGTGACACTGTAGTCAGCAGCTGGGTGCAGAAGGAGACTGCAGGGGTACCATGCTTCTCCTTGCAATCAAGATAAGGGGTGCTGTTTTGGGTGTGGTGCTGTGTTCTCCACTTGCAGAAATGGGTTCCTCATTTCCTAAACCACTACAGCCAGCCATCTATAAATCCTGGTTTCTCTCTCTACCTATGATAGACTCTATGTAGTTTCAACACCTTTGAAATGGTCACAGAATGGAAAAAGAGAAAATCAGGATGAAGCATCTTTCACAGTTGGGTAGAGAGGGGCTGCATTGAGTCTTATAGGGCAAACTTCTTTTAGGCAGTTAACTATATTTTGCTGCTGTGACTTAAATATATTTTACTACGTGCATAAATCAAGCAGATTAAATGTAAAGTTTAAACTAGATCTTCTGCAGCATCAGAGTGGGATGTATACATTTCCTTGTTTGCCTAAAGAAAAGAAATTGCCTAACAATACGGTGGAATCTCCTTCCTTAGAAGTTTTTAAGGTCAGGCTTGACAAAGCCCTGGCTGGGATGATTTAGTTGGGGATTGGTCCTGCTTTGAGCAGGGGGTTGGACTAGATGACCTCCTGAGGTCCCTTCCAACCCTGATATTCTATGATTCTACAGTTTTTCCACATGTGGTATAAATAACCCCATCACACAAGGACTAATTTTACTAAGAACCACAAAGTACTCATTCAATCAATTCAAGTTGTAGGAGGACTGATCAAAAAATGAATTGCACAAAATAACCATACACCCCAAAACACGTATAATTTAGTATTACCTGGTTTGTTCCTATCATATTCCATAGGACTATGTGCACTCCCCATATAAGGGCTGAAGGGCTGGCTACTAAAAAGATTATCACACTGCAGACTGTGGCAGAGCTTCTCCAAGAAACGCAGGACAAACGATGCACTATTTACAGAAGGAAGATTGATGGCGTGTTTCTCCCCGTCAAAGGCAGCTGTGAGTAAGAAGATGATGTCAGACACCATCCAAACACCAGGAAGTAGAGTACAACACTACCACTAACTAAAATATAATACATCTTGCTTCGATTAAAACAGTGTAGAGGTAAAAAAAGAGGTAAACAATTGTTCTGGTATCTTATGAGACTATTTAGCAAATTTACCTTCAAAAGGACAGATTCTGATCTCAGTTACATCTGTGTAAATTCAGATTAGCTCCCCTGATAGAAATTAAACATTTTCTGTGTTATTTGCTTATTGAACAGCCGGAAATAAAACAGAAGAAAACTTTTATAGTACTTGGGGGCTTTCGAGGGACCTGATTTGTTAACATGAACTGCTCATACTCATCTGTTGCAGACTGTCACCTGTTACAATTACAGTGATAGCTGGAGTAACTGGTTTGCCATTTTAAGAAGCGGTGTTATTCAACATTATAGAACCCATTCCAGCAATCGTTGTGCAGGTCAAGCTCCTATTTATTTAAGTAGGAACTCAGCCAATGTGAGGACACCAAGAACAGACAGTTTACTACATGCATCTTAGACAACACGAAGGGTGATATGCTTATACTTTATTTTATATTTGTTACATAAGAATGGCCACACTGGGTCAGACCAAAGGTCCATCTAGCCCAGATTCCTGTCTTCCGACAGTGGCCAACCCCAGGTGCCCCAGAGGGAATGAACAGAACAGGTAATCATCAAGTGATCCATCCCCGATCACCCATTCCCAGCTTCTGGGAAACAGAGGCTAGGGACACCATCCCTGTTCATCCTAGGTAATAACCATTGATGGACGTATCCTCCATGAATTTATCTAGTTCTTTTTTGAATGCTGTTATAGTCTTTGTCTTCACAACACCCTCTGGCAAGGAGTTCCACAGATTGACTGTGTGTTATGTGACTGAATGACTCCGCATTCTGTGAAAAAACACTTCCTTTTGTATGTTTTAAACCTGCTGCCTATTAATTTCATTTGGTGACCCCTAGTTCTTGTGTTAAGAGAAGGAGCAAGTAACACTTCCTTATTTACTTTCTCCACATCAGTCATGATTTTAGAGCCCTCTACCATATCCCCCCTTAGTTGTCTCTTTTCCAAGCTGAAAAGTCCCAGTCCTATTAATCTCTCCTGATATGGCAGCTGTTCCATACCCCTAATCATTTTTGTTGCCCTTTTCTGAACCTTTTCCAATTCCAAGGTATTTTTTTGAGATGGGGTGACCACATCCGAATGCAGTATTCAAGAAGTGGGCGTACCATGGATTTATAGAGAGGCAATATGATATTTTCTGTCTTATTATCTATCCCTTTCTTAATGATGCCCAACATTCTGTTAGCTTTTTTGACTGCCACTGCACACTGAGTGGATGTTTTCAGAGAACTATTCACAATGACTCCAAGATCTCTTTCTTCAGTGATAATAGCTAATTTAGACCCCATCAGTTGGGACTATGTTTTCCAATGTGCATTACTTTGCATTTATCAACACTGAATTTCATCTGACATTTTGTTGCTCAGTCACCCAGTTTTGTGAGATCCCTTTGTAGCTCTTCGCAGTCTGCTTGGGACTTAACTATCTAGTAGATTATACAAAATTACTCAAATTTGTCACCTCACTGTTTACCTTTTTCCGTATCATTTATGAATATGTTGAATAGGACTGGTCCCAGTACAGACCCCTCGGGAACACCACTATTTACCTCTCTCTGTTCTGAAAACAGACCATTTTTTCCTACCCTTTGTTTCCTATCTTTTAACCAGTTAACAATCCATGAGAGGACCTTCCCTCTTATCCTATGACAGCTTGTTGTATTAAAAGCATCGATAGGAATTAAAATGTTTTAGGGAAAAGCCAAGCATCATCTTCTGGCAAATAGTGAGATGAAAAAAGTTAAGACACTAATTCCAGGCCTATAGATGAGCAATTCTCATTGCATTAGCTGTGTTCTTTCTAACGAGAAATAATGTATAATGTAACACATCACAAATCTAACAGGTAACAAACATGTAATTTTTGTTAAATTAAAAGAAGTTGCTATGAATGTTAAATTTGCTTTTCCTGCTCAAAAGTACGATTTGGGTGCACGCAAGAGTTTAGCATGAGGGTTTCCCTACAAAAAATAAGAAGCGCTGGAGAGCATCATATTCCACTGATAGGGAAACAGAGGTGTACTTTCAAAAACAATACCTTTCTATTAAATCACAGAAATCTGAATTAGGAGCCACACCATGCTGAGAATCATTCCACCATCAATAAGGGGCAATGTATTCAGTTTTAAAAACATATCTAGAGTGATTTAAACTAATATCAGAAAAGTGATACAAATAACCCCTCTAATGCGAAGCGATGTTGTACAGGTATTTTATAAATGCAGTAAATATAATTCAGTATAAAAATGTTACAATAGAACCATACTCATTTGCTCTCATAACTGGATGACGCACTGAGGATTACTGAATTAGGGACAAATCCTGGCCCTTCTTTCCTTCGTGGCAAAGAAACCACTGAGGTCACTAGATTAACAAGACTCTGAAGTCCAATTGAAATCTTAAGGACTCACTGTACCACTTCAGAGTCACCCACAGAAGATAGTTATTTTGTGGGTTCCCAAGGAGCAGATTCCCCCTAGCTCTGAATCAGTTAGGAGACTGAATGGGCTACATGGCCTCCCATACACCTCCTGACAGACAGACTGCAAAACAGCAAGGTCCATCACAATGCAAATCGAAGATCCATCAGGATGGTCTTGTGGTCTTCCCACGTGACCTTAGGGAAGCCACTTACTCTCTGTGCCTCAGTTTCCCATTTATAAAATGGAAATATACTTCTTCATCTCATAGGGATGTTGTGAGAGTAAATCCAGTAATAGTTGTAAAATAATCAGTTGTTATGATGAGGATCACTATAGAACAAACCCAATAAATAATTTGGGCAAAAGAAGCTCTCCCGAGGCCTCACAATGCGCCATGGCAATCGTGGGAGAATAGTGTGATATCACCTGCAAACCTCCTAGCCCCAATGAAAATACTATTTTAAAAAACATTAATGGGAACTCCTCCTGGTCCCTGCTCCCTGTGTGATAGCTTTTTGGTGGTTTCCCCAGCTCCACAGCTGTTGTTCCAGAATCTAGAGGTGGGAGAAACTTAAGGTCATCTTGTCCATCTGCCAGTCACTGCAGACAAGACAATTTGTCAAAACAATTGACGAGTCCAGACACAATTTACTTGCTTATCCTTTACTATGATAAAGTTAATTAAATAAATTATGTTTTTAACCAACCAGTCCAAACATATTTAAACTCTACCTGAGCGTCCAGCTTGAATTTTGCAAAGCTGCCCAACCTACTTTATATTTACTAACGTTTTGTCCGGTCTATTCAAAAAAAACTGTCAAGCACTGGAACTTCCATTACTTTCCTTGGGACATCATTCCACAAGCCAAAGAATCAGTTTTTCCTCATATTCAGACTTCATATTCCCTTTCTTAATTTTATTTTGTTACTCCTCATTTTATTCTGCTAAACAATTCCTCCCCCTGCTCAGTGTTCATACCTAGAGCTGGTTGAAAAACTTTTGATAAAACAGGTTTTCAACAGAATCTGTCATATTGTTGAAGCTGAAATGTTTGAGGATAACGTTCAATTTCAATTCTGCCAGAAACCAGCTAGGATCCCAATGTTTTCCTTCCAGCTTGCCTGCCCAGCTCCTTGACAGCCTGACTAGCAGACTGATGGGGAGCCGAGAACAGGACTCCCAGGGCTCTCACTTGTGACTCCTCATCAGCTTGGATTCCCAGGAGAGCTGGACGAAGAACGAGAATTCTCTTCTGTGGAGAATTTTGGGCTTTTGTTCCAAATTGGAACTAAACCAAATTTTAAAAATCACTAAATCCTCCAGGAAACAGAATTACAGTTGTCTGCCTAGTTCAATTCACACTCCTTACTTACACAACCCTTGGGCCAGGATTTAGTCCCTTGTAAGCAATCATAAAATGTATTTTGTTTTTGCAATTTGACAGTTTTTGGTGTTAATTATTTATGACAATACTTAATGTGCTAGTAAGCATACTGTAGTATATCTTGTACATATAAAAATGTATTTTTTGAGAAATAAGGCGAGAGCTCCTTTTTGGGAACAAACTGGTACGCAAATTGTGCATGAGGATCAGAGAAGTTCTGCCGCATGTGGGTCAGGATGCTGTATTTTAACACTGTTAGGCAGCGAGTTCTTTTATGAGAGCTTAAATAAACCTGCCTTCCACTAATCATCTTTCACATCTGGTATTAATATAAGGAGATTAAAGTAAGACAAACCCTTTTTACTGCCAGTGATGAAATTATGAATTAATGCGTCTTACTATTATACAGAAGACTGCCAACCCAGAAGGGGAAAAAATGACAAGATGCAGATACTGAGAGTTCGAGATATGAGGATAATTTATCTACAGAGCTGCCCTCAGCATATAAGAAATAAACCCACTCTGTAGTAGAGCAGGGGTTCTCAACCAGAGGCCTGGGGCCCCCTGAGCAGGTTTCAGGGGGTCTGCCAAGCATAGCTGGCATTAGACTTGCTAGGGCTCAGGACAGAAAGCCGAAGCTCTGCTGTGCAGGACTGCATCCCGGGGCTGAAGCTGAAGCCTAAGCAACTTAGCTTCGTGGGGCCCCGTGTGGCGTGGGGCCCTGGGAAACTGCCCTGCTTGCTACCCCTTAATGCCGGCCCTGGCTTTTATATGCAGAAAAACAGTTGTGGCACAGCTCGGGTGTCGAGTTTTTATAGTGGGGGGGGGGGTGCAGAAAGAAAAAGGTTGAGAACCACTGTAGCAGAGGACATAGGTGCTCAAACACTGACCCTAAAACACCTCTAAAATATTAGTACAGAAAAAAAAAGGGAAGCAACAGCAGTTCTGTTTAACATATGGGATCAGTTATCTGGAACCTAAGCAGATTAGTTTTAAACTTTTTACCTACTTGGTTACAGCATCAAGACAACAAACACTGTGTATGGATAAGACGTGAATTAATAAAGCTGAACTTTGACTTGCATTGAATTTACTTGACAAATGTTTGGCTATGGCTATTTACTGCCGTATGCAAGTTTTACTTTGTAAAATATCGAACAATGCTGTATGGAATATGTAATTTTATATAGTCACGGCTGAATTCAAATTAAGAAAACTGGCTGTATCATTTTATACCCTATATTAAGATGTAAATTCAGTGCTGGCCGTAGATACACCACCAGTAAACGTAGCCACAGTTAGGTATTCTTAGCTTTGCTTAAAGATTTACAAAAGTAACATAAAAATGTTAATCATTGCTTTGCTACTACTTCCAGTCCCCTACTCTATACCACACTCAAACTTCTCAAACAGAACCCAGTGAACAAATTGGAAAAATTCAAGGACTTTGCATACCTGTTATCATCTCCCCTCCATGATGCCCTGACTTGAGGAATCCAAAGACTGTTTTGGATAGATAGGCACAGTCTACACAGGCCTGCACAGCCTGCTGAAGTACCACATTTACAGGACCTGGCCCAAAGTGGTCTGGAAGCTGCTGAACTTTCTTCTTATCCAGGTGAGGTCCAGAGTTCCCATGCTTGTTAACATAGACGCAAACTGAAAAATTACAAGCTATATTTATGGAATCTGCCCACTTCAGGCACAATCACACTCAATCAAAAGTATCTCAGCGGCTCTCACTGAAAGTCATATTGAATTCGACTGATGCACACAAAATGCAAAACCACCATACACCTTCTGTGCATACACTTATTTCTTTAATAACACGGTTTACCAATAATCAGCAACTTAGCATGCAATGCATAAGTCATGAAATCCTGGCAGATTAAAGTAAAAACAGGATTTTGACCAGGTACCAAAATTATTAGCTACCCAGGCTTCCCCTGTCCCCTTTAGCAGACCACATTGCACTCAAGTGCCTCCCCTCTGCAGCCCAGTATATTTTAAAGCAACTTTAGGGCAATCTCTCTCCACTGGATGCTCAAAATGGCATCATCATTGCATTGTCTCCACATTGACATGAAATGCAGCTCGGTTCTCTAGTATTTTTACTTTTAAAATTGTACCTACTGCACAACAAAATGATGGTGCCAAACTCCATGACCAATATCTCCAACCCAGCAGCCATTCACAGCAGTATTCATTTCCTTCTTTCTCAACCTGATAAATCAGCCTCCAAAACCCTCCTACATCACACTATCATGATGAGTTTATCCCAGCCTACACCCATCTGTGCTTGTCACTGAACTCCACCTGCATATGGGTTCTGTTACACTACACCTAACCTGGTGGATGCTCTGAGCTATAAGAATACAGGGGTCAAAGTGAAGACCTTAACAAAATGCATTACTTTAAAATGCCCTGTGTCATTTCTAGAGTTAAAATCTTCCAAAACAACAGTCAAGTTCATTTTAGGAAGACACTTTCTATGGAAACGAAAATAACCCCCAACAACTGTCCGTTCAAGAAAAGACAGGCACCTGAAGTAACTCAGACGTATCACAGGGATCATGCTCTGTGGTTAAGCAACAAGACAAAATAAGGGGTGAAAGCCTGACCCCACTGAAAGTGAATAGAAATTTTTCCATTAACTGCAGTGGGACCAGGATTTATTGTGGTCTAATAAGGATATGCCTTGGTGGTAAGGCAATAGACTGAAGCATTAAATAAGATAAAAGAAATCTGTTCTTTTAAAATGAATTACAGTATTATTTGTGCTAAATGAAACTTAGATTTTTCAAACAACTGATACTTGTAAAAAGACTGTAATGCTCCTGAACTCTGCATTCATGTCTATTTTCTGTTTGACAGCAGAAGCTGCGGGAGGCAGAGACGTGGATGTGGAGAGAACAGGAAAACTCTCTAAAATATGTTACTAAACTCTTATTTGGGCTCAATAAGGTTTGTAAACCTGACAGGTTTCCTTTAGTATGAAATGATTGCCTATTCTGCCCCAATGTTGTCTAGCACTGAAAGAGGGGTAGCTGCAAGGACGTGGAGGAGACAAAGCAGAGGAACGGTTTCTTTGTAAAAGCAGTTTAAAAATGGCAAAACATTAAAAACATAGCAAACTTTTCCCACCATTTTTTTTTGGGGGGGGGGGCACTTTAGCAAGTCCCAGGATTTGGCGAAGACTGAACAGCTGACAATTTACAAATTGTCCCATAACTGTGTAATAAAGAGACTACTCAGAGGTAGTTCTAACTAGCTTACTCCTTTTCCACCACCCATTTTATAATATAGTTCACTGCCTTTGCATTTGAAATGAGTTCTTGTTTTAACCTGGCCCATTTCTCCTGGATTTTGTTTTTTCAGTGACAGACTACACATCTGTATCTCTATTTCCATACTCTCTGGAGTGTAACAGTAGTGTCTGATGGCCTTTTGGTAACAGTCATTTCCAACACTGACTGTTACTTCCATCCCAATCAGTCATTTGCTACTGGTTGGGATGGAAGTAAGATAAGACAAAGCATGTCCTTTCCTCTTTATCAAGCATTGTACTCTAGGCTATGGACGACTACTGAAAGTGCAATGGATTTTCTTATTTACACACCAAAAAGCATGCTAACCAGACATCAAATTCCTGAAGTTCTGGTGTTTCTTGTCATTGCACATACACCAAATACCAGTCTTACCTAAGCACATTTGGAGAACTGCAATATAAAAATATATTTTCATATGAAGATGTAGCAAAACAATTTATTTTCAGCAGGTGTTTTAGAATAATAGTAGCATAAAACAATATAATTATTTTTATTTAGCAGGGGAATTAATTTCATACATTCAGAGTGCCCTTTTATACCTGTGGATATAACTGCTGCTGTTGCACCAGCAATGCCAATTCCATCTTTATGTATCTGTGTACTGCCATTGTCCCCCTCAGGAGAAGTAAGTGGAGAAGAAGGTGCAGGAGGAGATTTCACTGGCAGGATTTTTTTCTGTTAAAAAAACCCAAAACACAAAATCAGCAAGTGACCCTTTCTTAAACAATTCTCATTCATAAATGAACTATGCACTATCAATCACCATTCACTACTGAGGTAAGGAACACACACCTTCAGAGTTCCACCTACTACAGTGAAACTGAACTCCCCAACAGGAAGACGTTCTAGAAACATTAAACCATTCAGGGTATTTAACTAAAACAAGACAGCCAGACCTTTGCACTATGGCTTTGTGACATGGCTGAAAGAAGTCATCTCTGGGTATGTCTACACTGGTGTAATTTCCAGCTTCGATAGATGTACCTGTGCTAGTTTTCATTGAACTAGCATTCTAAAAATAAAAGCATAACTATGGTGGCATAAGTAGCAGAATGGGCTAGCTGCCCCAAGTATGATCTCGGGTAAAACCTTAAGGAACTACATGGGGTGGGTAGCTCCTCCTATTGCTACGGCTACACTTCTATTTTTTCATGCCCTAACTCAATCAGAGCTAGATCAGGTACGTCTACTTGAGTTGGAAATTACACCTCCAGCTCCAGTGTACCCTCTGCCTAAGAAGGGAGAGAAGAGAGGGACAAACTGAGAATAGGCAATAAAGGTAACAAGAAATAGGGAGCTCATATAACTGTCTAATTCTTATCAACCACATACTTGGCATGTTAGTTTACTCTCCCTCACTTCATGCTCTGAGCTGATCAAGTCTCTGATTAGGCTGGTTGGGCTGGCAGGCAGCTCCCATAGGCGGCCTCCTCATGGCTAAGGTACTACAGGAAAACACAAAACAATACTGTATAGGGCCCTAATATTGTGAAAGGAAATGCCAGACAAGCCACCAAAACTGCAAGAAATAACACATGCATAATGAGAAGTCACTCGTGAAAAAGAAATCGTTTAGGTTAGATCAGTAGCTTGCCAGTTGATGGCACTGCATTTGTAACATTACTCTTCTTTTCACTCCAAACAAATTATTTTTTAAAGGTATAGCCTCAGCTAAGTTTTGTTTCAATGCCATAACTACCTCATCCTTCCAGCTGTGGTAGTGCCCTGTTACACTGGAGCAGGTCATCTGAAGTAGCATAACAGTGAATTTGGTGTGGAAATGTTACTAATGATCGTGTTTCACTTTCATGCTAAATGGAAAAAAACCCACCACGCTAAATGTATCTTGCCTTCTGCTTCCAGCTCCACTTAACTTTTCTTTGCATCTGCAGTTGGTTTTGATAAACATTCATATGTGCGGATTTAAGAGCCAGGCCATGTAAGAATTTAGGAGAAGAGGGGGTGTGGTGATGAGGGGAGATTTACTGCTCCTATGAAGATAGCTGAAGGCTTTGAGCCTGTGAAGGTCAGAGAAGGCCTCCAGAGGTGTTAAGTGGAGGGTGAAAGAGAACAAGCTCACTGTCAGCTGCTATTATACTTGTTCTGCAGATGCAGATTGTGCTTCTCTAAGCACTGCCCTGCAGCTGCAAGTTGGTGCACAGAGAGATGAGCTCATGCAATATTGCTAGTGCAAAATGTTAATAGACACAGGTGTCATGCTCCCCCGAACATGTGAGATTGTCTTAAAAATAATAGATTTGGGGAACTTTATTTGCTTTCTCATTTGAGTCTTTAAGATACATTCAGGTCACATTTTCAAGCTTTTCTCTGCAACCAGGAACACTAGAAATTTGCTGAGATTCTCCATGATCACTTGTCTACGTTAAGTAAAAACACCAAATAGCAAAGCTTATGATAAAATCACGAGGGCTGCTACCACTGCATATGCTCTACACAACACAGGTTGGCCAGTCTCCACCCCTTCATGCTACAAATTATAGGCACCTCCTGCACTGGAAAATGGAATACGAGAGGGGTTCTCAGTACACACAGGCACAGAGCAGCCACAATCTGGCCCTTTTATCACACCAGGGAAGCATTTCATATTCTAATGTTCTAATAAACTTTGTAAGCATACATGAAAATACAGGGGATTTTAAAGCAGTTCTACCCACTTTCCCCATTTTTCTTCATCAGAACAGGTAATATTTTAAAAAATGGCTATTCCCATGCACTCATACATCCCACATACACTTATTATTGCTAGTACTTAAACTAATGTAAGCAGAGTCACGATGAGCTCCACCCTGACATCTGGTGGTGAGTTGGGGCAAGTTGTGGAAAAGAACTTCAGGGGCTGATCTCATTTGCATAGGCACACCCACCCCACCTAGCATGAGCCCATAGCTGCCCAAGTGGTCACTTTGGCTGCTGTGGGATCCCCAGTTTCTCTGTTATTGGGGCAGGAAGAATAAATTGTTATTATCCTGATTATGTGAATCAAGGACAGTGGAACAGTACTTGGCCTTTTGTTATGATGGAGGGACTAGCCATCAACTAAGTAGCACTCGCTAAGCAAGGGACATGAGTTCCAAAACTCAGTGAATGGAGAGAGACCGAGGACAGGTATTAATACTTGGTGGTATGGGCCCCCTGGTGAGGGCCTTACATGCTAATTACACTTCCTCCTTTCTCCACTGTGGAATATCAGAGCTGATTTTGATTCCATTAGGAGTCTAGTTACAGGCTGCTGAACTGAATTCACTTTTGGCCAATAGTGCACAAGTACTGAGGCTCCCCTATACAAGCTGAAATCACTGCGTGTTAAGTAGTGGGGGAGCCTGAAGATATAGTGCAGAGCAGTTTGCGGGACGGCTGGCAGAGCAGAGCAGCTCTTGAAGCAGAGCGGTTCGTGCGATGGCTGGAACAGCTCATGGGGGCGGCTGGCAGAGCGGAGCAATTCATGGGACAGCTGGTGGAGCAGAGCGGAGCCCCATGGAGAGGCTGGGACAATCGACTTTGGACCACATGGTGCCCCTTAAACCTCCCCCCCCATCTCCACCCAGGTTGGGAGGTAAAACTCTGCAGATAAACTTTTGAACTCTGGTGCTGTACTGACCAGGGACAGAAACTTTTGGGTTGTTGGACTTTTGGGACTTTGGGTGACATTGGGTTGCCGGACTCAAGAACCAAAGGGAAAGGTCACGTCCCAATTTGCTTGGGGTGGGTTTTTTTTGCTCATGGGTTGTGTTATGAATCCTGTTGGTGGTGTTTCACCAACATAATGCCACGTAGTTTCTCTTGGTTATTAAAAGGTTTTTGCTACACTCAGACTCTGTGCTTGAGAGAGGGGGAGTATTGCCTCTTGGGAGGCGCCCAGCGGGGGTGGTATATATTTGTCCCAGGTCACTGGGTGGGGGCTCAAGCTGGTTTTGCATTGTGTTATTGGAATGAAACCCCTAGATACTGAACCCGACCCTTGTTGCTGCCTACTCTGAAGGGCAGAAGGGTTACACTAACATTATGACCTAAGTCAGATGTACCTCAAACAGAAGTTTGCCTGCCATTTGCAGACAGCAGAGAGCTGGCTGGTGATGTGGTGGGGGTTCTCTTCATTGATAGCTCCTGACCTGCATTAAAAGCTAAAAATTCACCAAGGCAGGAGTTTTGAAAAGGAGGCTACAACAGCTAGGAAACCAGCTCTCATTGAACTTCAATAGAATTTGGGAACATAATGCCCTCAGGTGCGTTTGGAAAACCCAGACTAAACGTTCTTCTGTATCACTTTTACATGTAAACAGTTGCCATAAGGAAGCTGAGATCACAAATGGGAAGGGAGATGATCTGTGCAACTGTGAATGGGAAAGGATGAGAAAAGGTGCACATGACAATCTTTCCCTTAAGCTGTGAACCAACACAGATTGATTTTTGCCAAAAATTGCATTAAAAAGCTACTCAGCTATTAAAAAACGTTCTCACATAAGACTTTTATGATAGCTACAGTCAATATGTGATTTTGGAAACAATTTTATATCGACACAGTGACTTTTCACTTAAGTATCTTAAAACAACCAAAATACAGGACTTTCAGTTTATGTATTCACTCTGAGCACTGCTGCAACATCTATAAAGAACTGCTTTAGCTTACTATGAAATATATGGTACATGGCAAGGACTGAGATTTGGTAAAGGTCAACAGGCCAGAAAGGGCTGATTGGAGAGTCTATTTGGCATTGGGTGGTGACTGACGTTGCTGTAAGGATAATAAATATGGTGGCAGGAGTTACATTGTACTGATGATGGACACAGATCGTTTAGAACAGATGGAATAATATTCTACTGAACAGGGCAGTCAGTGGCAGCTTCCCAGTACACCTAAATATTCAGTAACAAAGGACTCAAATCATCCTGGACATAGAGAATAAACATGTACTGTAGTTAGCTAGGGCAAAACTTCCAACTTCCTAGGCATGACAATCCAAAAAGTCTCTCTATACAACTCTACAAGAGGTGACTTCACTCTACTTTGGGGCCATTGCTATTCCATAGCACAGAAAGCCATAGATAACAGAGAGGAAAATTCAACATGTGAAGAGATGGATACATGAAAAGGAAATAATATGAACATTCATGTGGGAGACATGGAGGGACAAACATCTTCAACAACTAACATAACAGTGCATATACTGACTGGCTACTCCCCACATCCTCATTAAGGACCAAGGTACAGCCCGTATATTTGAAATACTGAAATATGTGGTCTGTTTGTTTTGACAGTAGTCTGGTTACTTGCATTGCTAAATTAAAGCATACATTTAAAAAATAATACATTAAAAACAGATATAAAGGGAACAAATGTTTTCCTTTCATATTAGAACTGAAATTAATAAAAAACACTACATATTGAAATTGGGAGAAGGATGGTAAGGAGTCAAAATACAGGTAAGGGGAATTTTGTATTGAACTTTATTGCACTGTTATTGGGAAGTATTTGGATGAAAGACATTACATGCAAAATAAGCTTATTTTCTATTGCAGAGATGGAAATGTTGAATATTACATAATGATAACAAACAGTGAAACATGTTGATAAACAGATATTGCAACAGAATGGACTGCTTCCCCACCTGAGAATTATTTGGAAATTCAAAATGTACTCATCAAAGACTGACCTCCTTAACCATATATTTTCAAACTAGCACAAAAAACTTGTGAAAGGCTTAATCAGTCCGAACTGGCCTTAAACGTTTACTCTAGCGGCCTTTAAGCATAAGGCATTTTGCTATATTTAATGTCTGTTTAAGATGTGCAGTCTTCATGATATTCAGTCTGAATCTCACAAGCTCTCTGAGTGTGGCACTCCCAATGTAGTCAATGGGACTTTTTATTTTTTTCATCATTCTTTTGTAATACCTGCCATGTTTCAAAAAGTGTGTGTGTGTATAATATTTCTTGAGTTAATTAAAATATTCTTCTGGGTAAAGTGTGTGGTAAAATGGAAGACATTAATAAAAACAACCAAACATCATCCTATATAAGCATAAACTCTATTCAAACAATGCTAAGACAGAATCTTTATTATTTTTAACTAATGAGTCATTTTACAGAAGTCAGCAGAGCTTTATATTTATACTGTTTGATGGAGAGGGTGAATTTTATATCACATATATAGTAACTTAAGCAACATGTTACTCAATGCAGCAGTAATAACTTTTTATGGAATTTCAGAAGAAATTCATTTTTACGTTTTCCAGTCTAAAATTATACACAAAGCCTTGGTTTCTAACACGCCCTAAAGTAAGGTAAACACTGACTAAACTTAACATTTATTTCAGTAAGAAGATAATTAAATCTAATAACCTAAGGGATTGTCTAAACTTGGAAATTTACTGAAAAAACTATTCTGGAAGAGTAAATAATAAATAGTAATAATAATAAATAAAGCCAGTGGATTAATCTAAATCAGAAAAAGGGTCTCTATTCTAGAATAAGAGTGTCCACATGGTGGCTTACCTCAAAATAAGAATTCCAGAATACTTATTTTGGTAAATTTCAAGTGGAGACAAGCCATAAGTGCTTGAAGGAAAAACAGCATCAGACTGTACATGGAATTATAAACAGCATGTTCAAAATAACGAATCACTACAAAGTTCCACAATACAAATTAAAGTAGCAACTGTAACTAACCTTTCTTCCAGGTTTTAAACCTTTTTTCCTTGTTTTGAGATTTTCAGTAGAGGTGTTTTTTGTCAGAGGAATGGCTTTAGGAGATCTTCCCTTCCTAGGAATTGTAGATTGTCCAGGGGGGTTGCCCCGACTTGTTTTCCTGCCACATTGTGGTGGCACTGGAGCAGACTTCTGTGGAGACTGCATTGAACGCCGGGTTACTTTGGAAGGGGAAGACTGGGCTTTTGCACCTCTTTTTATAATGGAAACTGAGGGGAAAAACAAAAAACAAAAACCTCACCTCAAAATTAATACCAGCTTCTGAAGGTATTTTGTGTCATTGTCCAGAGATTACTTCGTACTACAAAAGCAACTTTTCTAATGATTTAAAAAACTTGCTACATATTTAATTTAAATTTTAAAATCAGTGTAAAATGAAGCTATCTAAATGTAACAAGTGTTTGGTATCAAACTACTTCATTTAACTAAATCCAGAAAGAACAAAATCCAGTCCCGTTCCCCCCCCCCAAATATATATATTTAAGAGGGACTTTTCTACAAGAGACCGTTTTCAGATAAAAAACAGAGATAATTTGAATACACTCACCTTACAGATGTTTCTCATAGTTTCCATTACTACCACAACTATTACATTCATATAGTGCCTGTCATCAAGAAGGATCCCAAAGTGCTTAACAAATTCTAAAGAATATAAAAAATCTAAGCTGCACCTCTAAATGTAGCTGCCACAGGGGCAAAACAATGTCAACTATTCAACTGTGCACAGCAGAAAGTGAAGAATACCATCCAAGTAAAGAGGAACAACGTTTTGATAGTCAAAATCTTAATAACTGGGAATTTGTCCGGGAAATCAAGTTTAACACCCAGAAAAATGCCAAAGATTAATTAAAGAGACAAGGTGGATATGACCTGAAGAAGAGCTCTATGTAAGCTCCAAAGCTTGTCTCTCTCACCAACAGAAGTTGGTCCAATAAAAGATGTTCCCTCACCCACCTTGTCTCTCCAATATCCTGGGACCAACATGGCTACAACAACACTGCATGCAAAGATTAACTACACTGAGTGATCAGCAGTTCAGTTTTAAATTTCATTTGAAAGAAAGTCCTCGAGCAGCACAGTGCCCACTGAGACTTGGATTCAATATGACTCAAAGGGAAAAGAATGACCTATTAATTTTCTGTAATATCAAAGTTTTCCTACATGGGATGTCCACCAAATACAAACCTCGCTAACCCTATGCAGCTCACATCTGACTAGATCACAGCCTGATGATAACAGGCTGGAAGCCATGACCAGATCTCTCTTCTATAAGAGCCTCCTAGTTAATAATGTATTTTCACCTATTTGATTGTGCTCTGAAGTCATTATGATGAATTTATGATAACTTCCTTGGCAACAAATTGATATTAAAACACAACAGAAGGAGTTTCTACATACACAGATATACCACTGATGGGAAAATGTGTTATGTCAGTCTCCAGTATCTCCTCTGGCCAACTCAAACAGCAATGACTGGTTCCAAGGGAAACTTATCAATTGTCATTTGATGAGAAGGCTGATCAACAGAGCTATATATGCTTTTGAGGAAGTGGTGAGGAAATAAAAGGCAGAGAGAATCGGACAACCCTTGCACCCCGAGAGGCAAAAGTTCAATTAAAACTAACAAACAAATAAAACAGAGGAAAATAAATAAATACAGAGACTTCTCTTGACCCTCTTCCCCCACCCACATGTATGCGTGCACATGTACACACACAAAGGAAAAGAAATACGAGACAAAAAGGTTGAATTTGATAGATTCTCTGTCATGTGAAGTATTTAAATCAAGACTGGATGTCTTTCTAAAAAGAACTTCTGGCTTAACTAAAGCATATGAGGTTCCTTGATTCAGGAATCACGCAATGATATTCTATAGTCTGATCTCCTGCATAACACACGCCAGATGATCATAATGGTCCCTTCTGGCCTTAAAATCTATGAACCTGTACTTAACATGACAAAAATTGAGAAATTCCAAATTAATGTTAAAGCTGAACTGACATAACCAAAGCTAAAATGCCTGATCTGGAACACTACTGCAAGCTGAAAGGGATGGATTCTAAGACTTTATTCTAATTTCCAGAGTTTTGTGTACATCAGAAAATTGTTACTGCTGAGCTATTAGTGATTGAAGATATATTTTGAAAAAAAAAAACCCCCACAAATAAAAGTAGAAGTTACATTTTCAAGGGAATCTAGACAGACAATTACCATTAGTCAATACAACAATGCCTACCCATACATGTGACGTGCATCTCAGCAGTCCAGTGCTCTGTCTTAAGTGGTGCTTTTCATTTTATAAGTACTTCTCCCAATGAGTTAACTTTAACAAATAAATCATTTGAAGAGAAAGTGTCAAGGTAAAGTGAACTGAACCGAACATCCCAAAATGACACTTCAGATGCTTATAAAACAAAAGTTCTATTCAAACAAGTTAACAAGGTTTTAGGACACGTTAAACATGTTTTGTTTAATTCATTTATGAATCAAATGTCCTTGATGAGCAATTTTTTAAAAAAAAGTCCTTTTTACTAATATTTACATTACATTAAATACATTACATTAAATATATTTTCTGCCTCTAGGTAACTGGAAAAAAGGAGCTTCTCAATTAGGAAAGTAATCACTTTCCTTTTATTTATGCATGATAGTACTTACAAGATTTCATGTACAGTAGCAATTTAAAATAAGTTTAACTGAATTTTAGCCAATACAAACAACATCACTCTTTTATGTTATGCTTTTGAATCTTCCAAGTGACAACTCTTACTAGACAACATATCTGGAAAGCAAAACAAGATTATAATAAAAATACAGCTATTCTATTCGGACCACACAATTCTGTGCTTAATAAATAAAGTCAAGAAATTGCAAAGAAATATGTGCTTCATAGATTCATTGTCTGGCTATACTGAAATCTAGCAAATGCTTTCATAGTTTCTGTTGCACAGTAAATGAAATGTTTAAATACACAGATAATTCCAACGACAAATGTTAATGCCAACAGATTCTAGGAGTACAGGTACGCATTTCTACACAGTGGGTAAATTTCAACTGCTTTGTAAAAAGGATTGATATTATTTACTAAACAAAGGCTAACAATGCAAACATTACTAATCTGGTCTTGCTGTACTGTTGAAATACAATATAAAATATATGTTCATTTTCATCATCTTCCTACCTTTATATTCCAGAGGGCCAAATACTAGCCGTGTTGACCATTAAGGGGGTTTAGGTCCCATTAGATAATTTTTCTTCTTACTAGGATTCAAACTGCCTTTTTGAATAAGCAAGTCTACAACAAAGCCCATGCTGCCTCGGCAGCAGCACTGAAATACTAGCAAATGGGAATGGAGCTATTTGCATTTGTTGGTTTAAGAGATGGGGGAGTGGAGGGAAGTGAGAGACTGCTAAAGTAATTCCCATATTGTCTGCAGGCTGTATTGACAGTGATCATCAGTCACCTGCTCATACTTCCTTCACCCCTGCCTTCCGAGGGAGACCAAAGGTTACACTGGGTCAAAGAATCTGGAAAGAAATGAAAAGACATGCAAAATCTAGCTGCCAACCCACTGCATCTGTGGACAAAGTTATCCCCGCTGGACCACATGTTCCAAAAACTAAGACGTTTTAATAGTCTCAAGAGGACTTGTTAAAATATATCAATGAAAAGAAGAGAGAAAAAACACCATGCTCTGCTTGCAATTACTGCAGCATTTAGCAGGGATATTTACAACAAAAAAAGCACATTTGCTTTTTTCCAGGACAGCGCTTTGCATTATAATGGTCTTCTCATTTGCACGAACAAAACAAAGCATTTGTTTCATGCTGCTCTACCAAAAAAATAAAATATCAACTATTCGAGCTTCATGGGGTTTATGCATATAATTTAGTGAGCAGTGTTCTTTCCCATGTCTCTTATCCTAAGTAAAATCTGTATTCAAATCCTTTGAAAAGATGGTCTCATTTAACTAAAAATATTATAAACCGTAGAGTAAGCAAATAAAATGTTAACTGTTCATAAATATTCAGAGTTTTCATAGATTACAGAGCTCTCTAATTACACTACTATATTATAGGTATATAAGTTAATACACACACAAATTAAAGATCTTTCATGCTTTCAATTATTAGTAACATGACAACATTTTCAAAAGCTCCAAAATTGTCATTATCTGGAGAACACAATATCCGTAACTCTGTACCAAATATGTAGAAGAGCAAAAAACTTCAAATACCCCAGGACCCCAAATCCTGAAACACTTACCAAGGGTCCAGTTCTTGCACATGCAAAGCCAATGAAGTCAACTGGTACTACTTGCTAGAGTAAGGTTTTCAATGATCAGGGTTTTTGTTCAGGGCCAAATTCTGCTTGCCTTACTCATACAAGTAGGACAACTGACTGAGTGGACTGAATCTTTGCAAAGGACTGCAGAATTAGAACCCAGAATGTTTTACTGGGTATTTCCTGTTAGCCTTATAAATCTGAATAAGTCCATCGGTAAATGTAATGCTACAGAAGAACTCAAACATAGGGGAAAAGGAAAAACTACAGTTCAGAAGCCTGAAGATTGGTGCAATTCCAATTAATAGAATTCTCCTTAAAAAGTTCCATATCAATTCTTTTATTTTATGTTGTTCATCTTGAGCGAAGTCATAAAACTACAGAATTTGTAACATATTTGGAATACTAGGAAGTTCTGTTGCTTCAGACAGTTGCCGATAGGTGATTATAAAAAAAATGATTAGAAACTCTGAAGTGAAATTACATGAAAATAGACCCCAACCTCAGTGCTGTGACAGATCTGTGTGCAGAACTCCCTTGAATTTCTGGGCACAGAGCACTTGCTAAATTAGGCCCAAGATGTCAATTGGGCAACAGAATGATTTTATTATGCAAAAAAGTTATACAAGTTTAACATTAAATCACATTGCAGTCTTGCCTCTGTTCTTTATTAATTATTATTATATTACTGATTACTAGTAGTATAATAGTGACTTCGGGCCCCTCAGAAGACTGCCTCCCCCCATGCCGAGCACCACTATATATATTAAAAAACAATCCTCTTGCCTCTATAGAGCTTGAAACACTAAAGAGACAAGAGAAAGGCTGGGGAGAAGAAAATGCTCTTTCTATTTCACCAGTGAGGAATGGCAGCAAAAAGATTAAGTAATTTAGATCCACTATTAGCCAAAATAAATCACCATC